GGAGACAGAAAAATCAAAAATCAAACGCCTATATAAATTATTAGAGGTAAGCAGACATTTCCTTTTTTTGTCAAGTGTAATTATTCACTTACTTATTTTTACACATTTGCTTTGAATTAATTTTTTAAAAATTTTCTCCAGATTTGGATAGAATTTGGACGCATCAAACTCCTTCAAGGTTATCATCCAAATGACATAGAAAAAGAGTGGGGGAAGCTCATCATTGCCATGCTCGAGAGGGAGAAGGCGCTGCGTCCAGAAGTAGAAAGGTAAGCTGAGTTATTTTTGCCATGGAAACCCGGAGGATGAGTGGGCGTCTCTTTGTTCTCATGGAAAGAACTTACACTTTGGAGCCAGGATGACCTAGGACCAACATTTCCCTTTTCCGTTTCCCTGGCGGTGTGACCTTGGATAAGTCACTCAATCTTTCTGATGTTTCATTTTCTTATCTAGAAACTCTTCTAAGAGGTTTGAGGGATTAAAGCTGTGAAGTAATGTTCATAAAAGACCCGATAGGCTGGGCTGGTCTGTGAAGTCTCATCTAATTAGGTGGTAACAGGTTTAAAGCCTATCCAAGTAGCCATGAGAATTTCTCAAACTGGCTTTTATTATTTTTTCCCTATTGACCCCGTCCCCCCTACCTTCACTGCTGTGTCCACGGATTATGCATACATACATATAAGTTCTTTGGTTAACCTCATCCCACCCTCCCCCACTTCCCTCTGAGATTCATCAGTCTGTTCCATGCTTCCATGTCTCTGGATCTATTTTGTTTGTCAGTTTATTTTGTTCACTAGATTCCACATATGAGTGAGACCTTGTGATACTTGTCTTCCTCTGACTCTTTTAAAACACACCAGGGCCTGGATCCCGAAGCTTACAGGCCCATAAAGAACTTATTTTGCTTCTTACAGTTTTGGCTGTGACCCTCTTTCTGTGGGGCCATGGAAACCAGAATATGGACTGCCTCCATTTACAGGGCAGTGAGGTGGCTTCCAGAAAATACTCAGTAAATATCAGGTTAAGTTCTCCCTACAAGTGCATTTATTCCATGAAATTGTCACTGACTTCATCATTCTGTCTCTACTCCTCTACTCAGTGGCCCTGGCAGGTGCTTTGGGAGACATGGGTTGGATGCATTTGTCTTCATTCTAGTCCTTACCTCCCAGCCGGAGTAGTGGGAATTGGGATCTCTGTTCCTCATTAGCTGTGAGCTCCATGGGCCTGGGCTTCCACTCTCCGCCTTTCTCACACCACACCCTCCTCGCTCTCTTCCCGCAGCCACACTGCTCTCTCGGGAGCTCCGGGTGCCAAGGTCCCACCCTGCTCCATACCCAGGAGGTTTGCAGCCCTCTGTTCCTTTGCAGGGAAGTCCAGTTCATCCTGCCCCGCTCTCTTTACTCCTCATCATTCTCAGATCTCGGCTCCAGTGTTACTTCCTCAAGAAATTTTCCATGGTCTCCTCGGCTGGTGCAGATGTCTTGTTTATTATAACTCTTGTGTTTACATGTGTTGTTCCTTCATGTCACTTATCTCTGTTGTAATTTTGTATTTATTTCTGTGATCATTTGATTAAGGGTTACCTGTTCCACTGTTATGAGCTCCAAAAATGTGGAGAAAAACGTATTTTCACTGCTCCTTGTGTGGCCAATGTTTAACATGGTGCCAGGCACATGGAGAGGCGCTCAGTATACTCATGCGCCCTGTGCCCCACACTTGACCTCAACATTGTTGAAATGGGACATAAAGCAGTGACAATACGAGGGCAAGTCTAACTTGTCAGCCCTTTATTAAATTACTGCTCACACTCTTGTTAAAGCTTAATATTATATCAACATAACTGGATCATTGGAACGAAAATAAACTTGAAATACATGGGATGGAACTTTTATGGAGGAGGCATTTGTAGGCGATTCAAGTGAGATACTAAGTTAATCATCTGGAGTAATGGCCAAGTCTGCTAGAGAAGGGATATGGAGTTGATTTTTTAGTCATCAGAAGAGCAGCTGGAGTTAACTATATGTTAGTAAAAGAAGGCAGTGTAGGAGTTTCAGGTCCAGGAATCAGTCCATCCCGGATTAAGTTAGTAGCTCAACTTGCAAGCCACGTCATTCTAGACAAGGTTATTAATCTCTTTAAGCCTCAGTTTCCTCATTTGTGAAGAGGATGTAGTAGTATCTACCACATTTGGTGGTTATGAGTATGAAGTGAAGTGGTGTATGTAAAATGATTAGTTGATTTCCAGGCACATAATAATTGCTTAATAAACATTAGGTGCTGCTGTTAACTATTTTGAGATTTTCTGTTTACTAACTGTATAGGATGGCCCTCTCAAAAAGTATACATACACTTTGACTAATTATAAAGGCAGTGTTTATTAAAATACATTTCATTTTCAAAATTGAGCTGCCAGCTGTTAACGTGTGCATACAGTTTTTGGGGACATGCTGTATTTGATATGACACTTTCAAATGCCCCCTTTTTTGCCTTCCAAAAAAAAAAATCAAAGCAAGTTTGGCTTTGTAGTGTTGGCGGTTAAGAAGATATTTAGGAGCTTGTTTGGGTAAATACTTTAAGTTTTCTTGATGCAACAAGTTATTTGGCATTAACTATATATATTGCAAATAATAGCTATGTGCCCTTGACCGGAATAGAAGACAAATGAGAAATTCTTTTCCAGGAAAGGAAAAACAAGCATAGACAAATGAAATTTGCAAGCATTGTCTCAATAGTCTACTTAGCACTTTGGCTTTTAAAAACATAAAGTAACTGTAGTAAGATTAGAGTCACATTCCTGAGAGCATGTCACTTAAAGAAAGGTAAATGGGTCATTCTCCAGTTAATGTAACCTGACAAACAAACGACATGCCACTTACACGGGAATGTACTTTCTTTCTCATCACATGAATTTGTTTCCACATGCTTATAAATGCCACCATTCAGCCTTATTGTTATTTGGGTACAGACCTGGCCCTTTATAAAAGTCAGGCTGTCATTGAATATTTGTGGTTTTCTAGCTGATGATTGCTATTGCCTGACTAACTTTTACTAATTGTACCTGGGCTTCGATGAGGCATCTGAGTTGTTTTTTAGGTGGTTGCAATTGGATGACACTTGGTGAAAATATTTGGCCAGGATTTTTTTCAGTGCCGCCCCATCAGCCTGCCTTGTCCATACTTGCAGGGTTTTAACGCAAGCTACAAAAGGCAGACCTCAGCTAGCAAACTCGTGGCTTTAGGCGAGATTCTTTTGAATAGTTATCAGCGTATTATTTTCTGTGTGTTGCATATGCATGTGGGAGCATATTTAAGGAGCCATGAAAGCAGTAACATTCAGCTGCCACTTTTTCACCGTTAGAAGTAGAGCTTTCTGCAGACCTACTTTTTAGTCTACTTTTACTGGTCGAGAAGGAATATCATTTCGGGAATAAAAATGCACAGTAGTAGTTACAGCTACCATAGTAGTGATTCTGTGTTTAGTAACACTACTAGCACTCGAACCAGCCTTGATTCAAATGAAAATTTTCTCTCGGTTCATTGCGGGCCAACATTGATCAACTCCTGCATTAGCTTCGGCAATGAATCCGTGGATGGACACAGGTATTGAATCGCTGGTGTGGGATTGTGCTTTAATCTCAGCGGACGGCATTTTTCAGCAATTTTGTGAACTCTGCGACTTCAGAGGGAGAGGCTATATTCTCTTTTGTTCCTTCTTTCAGGTTGGAAATGTTACAGCAGATTGCCCACCGAGTTCAAAGGGACAGTGTTATCTGTGGAGACAAACTGATACTTGCTCGAAATGCTCTTCAGGCTGTAAGTTAATTTTAGGAGCCTTTGGAATTGTGGGAGAGGAATCTGTGAATTTGGATGAACTAAGACATTTGCATAGCATTTGGTCAATTCTTGGTATTTTTGTCAACTGAAACTTAAGGTTTGTTAAATATTATGAGCAGAATTTGCTCAATGGAGAAATAGTCAACAGAAGCAAAACATATTTTTGAACCGTAAGGGAAAAAAGAGAACTCAAGTAGCCTTGTGTTCCAGTATATCTTACTAGTTTTGAAACTGTGTTTCACAAAATTAATACTGACTTCTCTTAAAATACAGGATTCTAAAAGATTAGAATCGGGGGTGCAGTTTCAGAATGAAGCAGAAATTGCCGGCTATATACTTGAATGTGAGAACCTCTTACGCCAGCATGTAATCGATGTGCAGATACTGGTTGATGGAAAATACTACCATGCAGATCAGTTGGTGCAGAGGTAAATGTGCTACTTACCTATTCATGTCCTGTCCTTTTGTTAAAAAAAAAGATAGAGTTAAAAGTCTAGAGTTAAAAAAAATCTAGGGTTAAAAAAGCAAAAATTGTAAATGATGCTTTAATTCAGTTGTTCCACTTTTAGGAATCAATAACAATTTAGGAATTATAACAATAAAACATTTAAATAAATGCAGATAAAAAACTTTCGGTTTAGATGAGAAATGTTTTATAATAACAAAAAATGTGGGAATTTCCTAAAGGTCAAATAAGAGGAGAATTATCACATCATAGTTTAGTAATTATGCTCATGATCAATGATAGTTGTAAAGACTGTGTGATAATGAAAGTGCTCATGGTACAATTCCGTGAAAAAAATGTGTAAAATTTTATCAATATGATTACAATGAATTTTTCAAATAATAGACTTTACTTAGCAGTTTAGATTAACAGAACAACTGGCTGGAAAGCACAGAGTTCCCATATGCTTCCTGATATGACTCCTTCTCCTATTAACATCTTCGTTAACGAAAGTCCATAGTTTACCTTAGGGCTCGCTTTTTTAAAAAAAAATATATTTATTGATTTTTTACAGAGAGGAAGGGAGAGGGATAGAGAGTTAGAAACATCGACGAGAGAGAAACATCGATTAGCTGCCTCCTGCACACTCCCTACTGGGTATATGCCCACAACTAAGGTACATGCCCTTGACCAGAATTGAACCTGGGACCCTTGAGTCCGCAGGCCGACGCTCTGTCCACTGAGCCAAACCGGTTAGGGCAGGGCTCGCTCTTTATAAAGAATGCCGTTTATATTATAGCTCATCCCTTTTGGTTTTCTTTTCAGGGTCGCAAAACTGCGCGATGACATTATGGCCTTAAGGAATGAATGTTCCTCAGTGTACAGCAAAGGACGCATGCTGACGACAGAACAGACGAAGCTCATGATATCAGGAATCACTCAAAGTTTAAACTCAGGATTTGCACAGACCTTAAACCCCAGTCTGAACTCAGGGCTGACCCAGAGTTTAACGCCTTCCCTGACCCCTTCTAGTGTGAAATCTGGCCTGTCATCAGGTCTGACTTCCCGCCTGACTCCATCCCTCACTCCAGTTTATACACCTGGTTTCCCAACAGGATTAGTTCCAAATTTCAATTCAGGAGTAGAGACAAATGCATTGCAAACCCTGAAGTTGATGCAGATCCGAAAGCCCCTTCTAAAGTCTTCTTTGTTGGATCAGAACTTAACAGAAGAGGAAATCAACATGAAATTTGTTCAGGATCTTTTGAATTGGGTTGATGAGATGCAGGTAAGAAAGTGTTTACCTGAAAGTTTCCATCTTTATTGCTATCAGTTTCTTTTTCTTTTTTTTTTTTTTTAACTTAGAATCTTTCTGTTTAAAGGGGCAGCTGGACCGCACTGAATGGGGATCAGATTTGCCAAGCGTTGAAAGCCATTTAGAAAATCATAAAAATGTTCACCGAGCTATTGAAGAATTTGAATGTAGCCTTAAAGAAGCTAAGATCAGTGAGGTATATGCATTCAAAATCTGTATCTATTTCATTTTAGCTTACTGTTGTTTTGCTTTTCATGTAAAGACCCTGTAACAAGATAATAGATACATTGAGTAGGAATCAGAATTCTTCAAGATTCCTAACCTTGGTGTCTCTCTTATACCATGTTATAGATCCAAATGACGGCGCCTCTTAAGCTAACTTACGCAGAAAAGTTGCACAGGTTAGAGAGTCTGTATGCAAAACTGTTGGTAAGTTTTTTTTTTTACATTTTCTGTTTCCTTTATCTCTGTTTGGCAAAGACATGATTCTTACAATGGTTTCCCTTATAAAGAACACATCCAGGAATCAGGAACGGCACCTTGATACCCTCCATAATTTTATAACTCGTGCCACGAATGAACTTATTTGGTTGAATGAAAAAGAAGAAGAGGAAGTTGCTTATGACTGGAGTGAAAGAAATACCCACATATCCCGGAAAAAAGATTACCATGCTGTAAGTGCAACTTCGGTAATTGAATATTAAAGTGGTATTTCAGGTTTAGATCTTTTTCTAACACATTTCTGAACTCTTTCTTGAATTAGGAATTAATGAGAGAACTGGAACAAAAGGAAGAAAATATTAAGTCAGTTCAGGAGATAGCAGAGCAGCTACTTCTGGAAAACCACCCAGCCCGATTAACTATTGAGGTGAGTCAGGAGGCGTAATAGTCATGCTTGAATATCCACATTCGATTATCACCCTACGTATTTTTTTTATTGCTGACAAATTGAAAAATGCCGACTATCCAATTTTTATTACAACCTGGCTCAACAGTGATGTTTCTGACACATCATACTGATTTGCCTCACTTCCCTTGATCTACGTGTGTCCCCTGCCCATCACTTAAAGTAAAGGTGCCTTTGTCAACCCTGTAACCCAAGAGGCGAATTGCAGTAAATATGAAGGACCTTGACTTTTCAAGCTGTGATGTTTCATTTCCTCCTGCCTTGTGCCATTGCACAAGTGATGTAACCTTGCTAAGACTCACCTACCTACCCAAATGGGAAAATTGCTTCTAACCTGAAGAGCTGTGGTGAGAATGAGAGCAATAATGTAAGGTTACTACTTAGTATAGTTTATGGTGCATAGTATATTCTTAAGATGTATTAACTACTGCTATTTAATTAATAATTGTACTTATGATCTAGTTTTGTGAGGTGCATTGAAATAACACCCTGGAAAGGCCTCACTGGAGTGCACATTTCTAATCCAGTAGGTGGAGAATTGATTTGGGATTTATCAGGTTGCCCGTGCGGCGGTGGTGGTGGTGGTGGTGGTGGCAGTGGTGGTGGTGTGTTTAATTTTCTGGCCTGATATATACTGGTTAGAGTTAGTGAATTTCTAAATTTGACTAACAAGAGGGAGAGGAGAGGTTAAGTAAGGTGGCAAGGAGCATCAGACATGGATAGATGTGGTGTGTTTCCAGAGGAAAATGCAGCTGTGCTTACAACGGGACGTGCTTCACAGTGTCTCAGTTGAGGAAAGAAATACCTTTGTTCACTGAAATCGTCATGAATCAAAAGATTAGTAAAATTTCAGGTCTCATTGGGGAATTTTGGGAATGTTACATTTGACCTTCTTTTATATGAAAATAGTGTTTTGCATCCACATGAAATGCCAGAGAGGAATCTTAAAGACACAAGAGCGGGAGGGATAATAAGGGAAGGAAATTAGAGTAATGAAGGGTCTGGATACACTTTTGTACGATGATAAACTAAAAATGGAATTGCCCTCAGAGTAGAGAGATGAAAGCTGTTAGGAAATATGATTATAGGTTAAGAATTGTGATGGAAATAGAAAATGTGGATGTGGACCTGATTACTTTTATATAGAAATGTTAATCTAATTACATGTTTCTTGGGGATAAGATTAGTCATCTTTATGATTCCATTGGCCTAGGCAGTGTCTTGCGGGTACATGGATAATGGTTATCAACAATATTTCACATTTTATATGAAAAAGAAACTACTAATCTAACAATGCACAATAGGTCTTTTATAGCCATTTTACTCAAAGTGGCTTCACTTGGGGGAACAGGTAATATGATCATGACATGTTGCCAGATTTCCAGTGCAGTTGGAAATGCCCGTACATTCCGTTCAAAAGCTTGCCTGAACATAGGCTCAGCAGGCATGAGATTTTCCAAAAGGAGGAAGTATGCTAGGCTTACTGAAAGCATCTAGAGCACCCTCTTCTGGAAGGCAGTGAATTGCACCTTAAATATAAAATGGTATTTCATGTTCCCCTAAGGAGGTATCTTATACAATATTTTTGCCCTCATGAAAGATATGCTTTGTCTTAAATAAAGGTTAAAGCAAACAGATGTTTTAATAAAAATTTCTAGTATTATGATTTTTATAACTCCAGAATTACAGTGATACAGGATTGATTGCATACTCTCTTCTCTACCCTACCACCACGCCCCTAAATATTTTCCTTGTAAAAACAAAGAAATTAATTCCCCCAGTCCCAACAGCTTCTGGCCTAGTTTTAGAAGCAAAAGCAGAGAGAAAACTACAAGACCATATATTTTGTGTCAAAGGCGTATTTTATGATCCAGAAATACAAAAATTCAGGGAGAAGAAATAAAGATGAAGGGACAGTGTCATAAAGGAAAGGAAATGTGAAGATTCCACAGAGTAGAAAAAGGAGTAGTGAGAAAGGAGTAAAGAAAGGGTCAGCTTGCATCCATTTCAAATGTTAAATTTCCTTTTCATGTAAGATTAGCTTCCTCCATATATTTTAAGAAAAAACAAACCTTTAAATTTGAAAGAAATTGACTGGACTGATTTAAAAAGTTGACATTTAAACTTCTAGGACTGGCTTTGGGCAAGTGATAATCTTAGATTAGAGGGACATTCACTACCCTAATTTTCAAGTCTTAACCTGCTAAAAAAAAAAAAAAATCTTACCATCTATGTAGATAGTAGAGTCTTTTATCCTTTGAAAGCATTGCTGTGTATGTATGTCATTGTTCTCCCCACTGACAATGGCTGGGTTTTACCTCTCAGGCCTACCGAGCGGCAATGCAGACACAGTGGAGCTGGGTCTTGCAGCTCTGCCAGTGTGTGGAGCAGCACATAAAGGAGAACACGGCCTATTTCGAGGTATGTGATGGAATCGCCACTTCTGTCCATGGCATTGTGATTTTGGCTGACTCACAGAGAATGCTTTCATCATTTACTGTCAGACACATGTACCTAACGTGCAGGGGAAATAAACTGAAATGTTTTGTTTGTAAGACATAAAGGATACCTTGAAGCATTCTATTAAGGAGGAAATCCTTAATAAAAACAATCTTAAAGTGTCAAAAAAAATTTTATTTTACAAATACATCTCTTACTAAGGAAGTATTTTCATTACAGAGAGTCATTAGCAAGAACTCTTTTTAAAAATGTATTCTTCAGAAGTTTTAAATTACTCTTGGACTTACACCCCTACCTAAGAATTGTTTGGAATCTAATAAACCTTGGACATTTATTGTTCATTCATAATTATCCAAGTTCAAGAGTTGTTATTTGGATAAAGGAGGGAGGTGGCTATTACGTTGCATTGTTTTGATTTTATTCTGTTCTCACCGATGCGGGGTACACACAGGGCCCTGGTAATTGAACTTGGTAACTCTGTACTTTATTGGCATATAATATACTTTAACTACCGGTTTTCATTTTTCCCTAGTTTTTCAACGACGCCAAAGAAGCCGCTGATTACTTGAGGAATCTGAAAGATGCCATTCAGCGGAAGTACAGCTGTGATAGATCCAGCAGCATTCACAAGCTGGAAGACCTTGTTCAGGAATCAATGGTACTAAGAAGATTACTTAGGAGTTTCATTAGTAATGTAAAATGTAAAATGGGAATTCGGTAGTTTTTATTATATTTTTATAGGAAGCACGACTGAATATTTCATTAGTACTCTTGATAATTCCACTTTGTTCAACCAAGCATTTAAACATTCAGTTTTAGTATTTTTTGGTAGCATAAAAAAGGATTTTTTAATGATAGCTTTGATATTTTAAAATGCTTAAACAGTGTTTTGTGCGTGCATGTGTGCGTTCATTCAAGTACAAATACTTAAGTACTTTCTGTATCACAGGTACTGTTTTTGGTGCTGGAGGTAGAGTATGAACAAAACATAAGAAATCCCTACCCTCATGATGCTTATAGGCTAGAGGTGGGCATAGACAATAAACATGGTAAATCAGTAAAATATATGTGTTTGTTAGACGGTGTGGAGAGGGGTTGAAAGTTTAGACCTTGTGGTCAGGGCAGCTTCTCTGATGGCTGCATTTCTGTAAAGCCCCCAAACAACAGAGACCACAAGTCTTTTGCCATTTTAAATCATCTTATTTATGACTTAGGAGGAGAAAGAAGAGCTCTTGCAGTACAAAAGCACAGTGGCAAGCCTGGTGGGGAGAGCAAAAGCCATAATTCAGCTGAAGCCAAGGAATCCCGACTGTCCACTCAAAACATCTATTCCAATCAAAGCCATCTGTGACTACAGACAGATTGAGGTATGTACGCTCCTAGAAACAGACCAGTTTCTGGTCTTGTTCATATATTTAAAAAGTGAGGTCACGTTGCTCACGGGTAAAGTTTTCCACCTGAAGAAAAAACAACAGAAAGTAATCCCAAGATTGGGTATGGAAAAAAAGATGAGTCAGCAATGATCTCATTCGGTTGTTCTGTTCTTCATTTTAAACCAGATAACCATTTACAAAGACGACGAATGTGTTCTGGCGAACAACTCTCATCGCGCTAAATGGAAGGTCATCAGCCCCACAGGCAATGAGGCCATGGTCCCCTCTGTGTGCTTCTCAGTCCCTCCACCAAACAAAGAAGCGGTTGACTTTGCAAACAGGTTCGTATGCATAAGCTAAAAACAGACCCCTGGTTTGGGAAGCTCTCTGAAGGTTAAAGAAATAATCAATACTTTGTCAGGGCCCACAGGATCAGAAGGATCTAAAACTAGCAAACATGGGCTATTTCACACCCACACACGCATACATTAAATAAAAAAAAAGAAAGAAAAAAGAGAAATCGTAGCATGTGTTCCAAGGGAGGGAAAAGGCTTAATCTGTGTTTTCTTTCATGTATTTCAGAATTGAACAACAGTACCAGAATGTCCTAACTCTTTGGCATGAGACTCACATAAACATGAAGAGTGTAGTATCCTGGCACTATCTCATCAACGAAATTGATAAAATTCGAGCTAGCAATGTGGCTTCAGTAAGTGTAAATCTACACATCAACCTAATCTGTCCAAAAATGTGGGGCACTTTGTCATGAAGAGTAGAGTTTGTCTTTGCTGTACAATAGGATGGAGTCCAGCGGAGCCAGTATTCGTTCGTTCATTCCATGCTATCTGTTATATACTTACTATTTATGGGGCACTTTCTAAGAATTGGGGTCAGCTGGAGATCACATATTCCACTTAGTGCTTATATTTTGATAGGGAGACAGGATATAGTGTTTGGACTTCTAGAGATGAGTCCAGTTTAATTTCATTTAATGAGTTTTAGAGTCTTGTTCTTCTTTGTTTTTTTAAAAACCTGAAATTGTTAGCAAAGAGGAAAATTAATTTCAAATGGTTCTTGTATTTATGTCTATTGATTTGAACTGGCCTATACCATGAAACTTTAACCTGAGATCTGTCCCATTTAATTTTAACTCAGTACTATAGTCACTCAATTATATGGTCATTGGTCTTCTCTAGATAAAGACAATGTTACCTGGTGAACATCAGCAAGTACTGAGTAATCTACAGTCTCGTTTTGAAGATTTTCTGGAAGATAGCCAGGAATCCCAGATATTTTCGGGCCCAGATATCACACAGCTGGAAAAGGAGGTTAATGTGTGTAAGCAGTATTACCAAGAACTTCTGAAATCTGCAGAAAGAGGTAAAGCATGGGCGTCCTTGTCTCCCCCCCGCCCCCTCCCTCCCCACCCCCCACAGGTGTTTAATACAGGTTATTTCCTGCTCTGAATGGGAATTTCAGCCTTAGGTGTGTTATGCTACTTATCAGCCTGTGATAGGTAGACACAGTTGTGGAAAAATTAAAAGCATGTTTCAGGTGGGAATATGCAAAAAGGGGTTAATTTTTTTCTAGTTGATGAATTAAGAAAAAATGCCAACCAAATAGTATGACAAATGATGGCATCTTAATGCGTCTGCTTTTCAACATTTTCATGATTTTGCAATGTAGTGTTCAGAATGGTGATCTTTTCATTTCAGAAAAGCTTCAGTTATTTTTCCATGTCCCAAACTTGGACTTTAAAAAAAAGACTTTCTTCTTTAGAGGATCTTTAGATTCACAGCAAAACTGAGAGGAAGGTGTAGAGATTATCCATAACCAAACTGGGGTTTTACACAGGGGTTAAAGGAAAAGATTTTTGTCTAGTTAATTTTTGTTTAATATAAATTTTAATCTAAACTCTTTTGATATTACTTAGAGACAAAAGCTGCATTAGTAATATTCTATTTTTAAAAATTTTAAACATGAACATATTTTAATCTACCTTTCATTTTAAGGATTTTTATTTAATTTTTTAGGTAATCTGCAACTAAGACAATTCACATTTGTGGGTTTGTGATGGTATCTGATAACATTAGTCTGACTCACTATGTTCCAGTAGTAATAAAACTGCCATAATAAAACATGAGCAAGAGCATCCAAATGATAGAAAATAAGATGTTTTCCAAACATTATATTTACGTTCACAGAGGAGCAAGAGGAATCAGTTTATAATCTCTACATCTCTGAAGTGAGAAACATTAGATTGCGGTTAGAGAACTGTGAAGATCGGTTGATCAGACAGATCCGAACTCCACTGGAAAGAGACGATTTGCATGAAAGTGTGTTCAAAATCACAGAGCAGGAGGTGAGATTTGTAAATGTGTTGGGGTAAAATTTAACTTAAAGTAAATTACTATCTTAGTGACTGCCAACTCCTGTAACTTCTTACATGCTCAACTTTGCCCAGTGATCACTTCATAAGGTCTGACTATGCTCTTACGGCTTATTGTGAACCAGCATTCTTTAATTCAGTTCCACCTCTGACTCAGGTAAATAGGTTCCCTTTTACCTATTATGGTGGAGGCTGTAAGGGCTTCTCACAGTTTGAAAGAGCCCTGGCTGGTGTTGCACAGTGGTTAGAGTGTCAGCCTGCACACGGGAGGGTTGAGGGTTCAATTGTCAGTCAAGGGCATGTACCTGGGTTCGATCCCCGGCCGGGTTGGGGCGCCTGCAGGAGACAACCAATCCATGTGTCTCACATCAATGTTCCTCCCTCTCCCTCTCTCCATCCCTCTCTCCCTCTGTTTCTCCCTTTGTCTGTCTTCTCCTCCGTCCCTCCCTTCCACCCTCTAAAAATCAAGGGAAAAAATATCCTCAGATGAGGATTAACAAAAAATAAGCAAGCAAACAAAAACTGTTTAAAGAAAGATGCCCCATCTGGAGTGAAAACCTAATGCCAATGTTTGTTCTCTCTTTCATAGAAACTAAAGAAAGAGCTGGAGCGTCTTAAAGATGATCTGGGAACAATCACAAATAAATGTGAAGACTTTTTCAGTCAGGCAGCAGCCTCTCCATCAGTCCCCACCTTACGCTCGGAGCTCAGTGTGGTCCTTCAGAACATGAACCAAGTCTACTCTATGTCTTCCATCTACATAGAGAAGTATGTGACCACCGTCTTAACATAAATTTGCTTCAGACAACTGTCCTATTTTTACATCTGTGCTGCACATTTAAAATACTCATTATATGAATATTAGTAATTCACTTTTATTTTCTCTTACCAATATATTCAGTATTTCTATAGATTTATGATGCTTCTTCATGTTGAAAAGGAATGTGCCACAGAGATTAAGGCGCAGTGTATGATCTTCCCACATTTTGCCTAAAGTTTTAATAGCTCAGCTGACTATGAGTCTGTAGGATTTTCCTCTCAAGCTTGGTCTAACCAAGGCTTGAAAGAAGACCATCTTATCTTGGAATCTCTTACTAAATATCACTTGTGGTCCATACTATCTATCTATAAAGAAGACAGTCAGCTGACTATGTCTTGTACGTAGTGTGTCAGTGTTCCAACATGAAGAACATGCTATATATAGTATCGTAATGGTGCTTCAGGACTGCATTATGGGAAAATAAACATTTACCAATAGAAGGCTGTTGTTTAATTCTCCTTATTAGGTTGAAAACTGTTAATTTGGTGTTAAAATACACTCAAGCTGCAGAAGCCCTTGTAAAACTCTATGAAATGAAACTGTGTGAAGAAGAAGCAGTGACAGCAGACAAGAATAATATTGAGAATCTAATAAGTACTTTAAAGGTATGAGTCTCACTTTTGGGTGTTTTTCAAGATCATACTCTAAAAGTATTTCTCTAGCATTTCAATCTTCAAACATCAACTGTTAAATATCTTATTTTGATTATATTTACATTCATTCTGTTGGCATATCTCTATGATGCCATAGCTTACTGCAGATAAGTATGTTCAGGCATTTGTAATTTGAGGAGAGATCTTGAAAGTTTGAATCTTCTTGACAATAGTTTTTTTATAATCAGTTCATATTGGCAACAGGAGGAGTTGAAGCTAAAAATTAAATCATTTGTAACTTATTCTCTTGCTGAAAGAGACAGTTATTTTAAAAGTCGAGGAGGCAAATAGAGGAATTAATCTAAGAAAGGAACAAGACTGGTGGTTGTACTCATCTGTATCTGTAAATGTGTATAAAGAACTGAGTGTAACTATTGCAAAACAATGGTGCAAAGTTATCTTAGTGATTTTTAATGTGTACATTCATTTTTAAGCAATGAAATTAGTAAATATCTTAAACATAATCAATGAAAACAACTTACGGAGGTAGCAGACTTGCTTATGGAATATATTTTACTTTATTGATATGTAAATTTCATTAGGCTGAAAACTTTATTAAATTTTCAGGTTTTTTTTAAGATCAAAGTGCAATCAAATATTGGCAATCTCATCAGGTTCAACCTAATACATTATTTTTGTATATGAAAGATACTTTTTCCTTTCTCTGATTTTATAGCAGTCAAGTGACTGCTATAAATAAATTATAAAATTAGGTAAATAACGTGTTTGCCCAGTGATTGGTTGACACATTTTTATAACTTCCACCTGTTAATGTATTTTAGCAATGGCGGGCTGAAGTAGATGAAAAGAGAGAGGTATTCCACTCATTGGAGGATGAGTTGCAGAAGGCTAAAGCCATCAGTGATGAAATGTTTAAGACATACAAAGAACGGGACCTTGATTTTGACTGGCACAAAGAAAAGGCTGATCAGTTAGCCGAAAGGTGGCAAAATGTTCATGTTCAGATTGACAACAGGTCAGTATCTTTTTTTTGTTCAGATTTAGTACAGATTTAATGTATATCCTTATATGTAGGTAAAATCTAAACTTATTAGGCTGTTTTAAAATCTCTTATATATAGTTAATTTCATATGCATAGTTAATTTTGACATACACTTAACTAGAGGCACAAAATTCATGCACCGATATGGTCCCTAGGCCTGGCTGGTGATCAGGGCCGATTGGGGCCTTCGGCTGCTGGCTGGGGCCTCCCTTCCCCAGCTTACAACTGCTGGCTGGGGCCTCCCTTCCCCAGCTTACAACTGCTGGCTGGGGCCTCCCTTCCCCAGCTTACAACTGCTGGCTGGGGCCTCCCTTCCCCAGCTTACAACTGCTGGCTGGGGCCTCCCTTCCCCAGCTGCTGGGCGGACCTTCCTTCATTCCTTGCTGCCCCCTGGTGGTCAGTGCATGGCATAGTGAGCAATCGATCTCTCAAGGGGACACTTTACATATTAGCCTTATATATATATAGATTGTGTTTGCTTCAAGAACTCTATTTATTTCTTAAATGTTGGATTTAAATAAGACATTTAACTTCAAAATAAATATTTTCAATTTTATGTTATTAAAACTATTGATATACTCTGGTATTTGGATAGTTAATCTACTTGCTTTTTTTCTGAAGGCTAAAACAATATAGGTCTCCATTTATTACAGCTTACAATATTCAAACACCATATTTAAATAATTCAAAATTGTTACCAACTTACAAGACTTAGTAAGAACATGAGCCAGGTAGCACTCTATACTAGACCTAAGAAGTGTAAAGAAATTGCAGTGACCTGATGTTCACTTTTATGGAAGATATAAGAACATTGAAAATAAATAAAATAAAAAAGTGAAAGGAAATTAGATGGTGTTAGGTCTCCATCTTAAAAGAAACAGAATAGTGTCTTTTCTCATTAATTTCATGTTTACATTAATGCAAAGAAAATGCTTTTATGATATAGGACCATTCTTGAGAAGTATAATTATATTCACGTATAGAATATCTTATCTCTATAACATATGTGATTTGTAGGTTTAATTTAGTGATTTTAAATCATAGAGTCTGAAGCATTTAATCACAACTCCTGGAAAGCCCTCTCTCAGTCCATGTTGAACCATTCATTGAACTATCTTGTCCTTATTTCTAAAGTGAACTTCCATTTGATGCAAGCTTTGGGTATTCAAGGCTACAGATTGATAATGGTTATGGTTAAGTTTCCAGTTTTCCTGCTTTTTAGCTTTAGTCTCTGGGGCTTGTCCCTAGAATAATCATAGGTACAACTCCATAAATAAAATATTTAGATTGAACCCGAGCCAATGTGATTGCCCTTAGAGATGTGCTTCAGGGTGCTGTACCCTTGAATTGTTGTGCTGAGTGCATTGCAGTACAGTTGTTCTGTCTCTCCCTTCTTCACTACACTTATCACCCTACTAATGGACGCTATTGGAAACGGTGATTATTCTGTTGTTTTTTAGGTTACGGGACTTAGAAGGCATTGGCAAATCGCTGAAGTACTACAGAGATACCTATCACCCGTTAGATGACTGGATCCAACAAGTTGAAATTACTCAGAAAAAGATTCAGGAAAATCAGCCTGAAAATAGTAAAACCCTAGCCACACAGCTGAATCAACAGAAGGTATGTGAACACAATTCCCTGTGCTAGGGCTGTGTCTGCCTTTGGTCAGTAATGACCTTTATCTTTTCTTGTTAAAAGAAGAAGTAAAAAGCTATTTGGAAGAAGGTAGGAAAAATCAGAAATATTAAAATCTCGCAATGCAGACCTACAAGTATCACTTACTTTGATTTCTTGGAAGTCATTTTGAAAGCATAAGGAATAAGAAGGTAACGTGTTGGGGTAATTTTCAAATTCCTAGTGATCATTTAATCATAGTATGGAAATCTCTTTGGTACTAGAAAAATCAGAAATATTAAAATCTCGCAATGCAAACCTACACATATCACTTACTTTGATTTCTTGGAAGTCGTTTTGAAAGCATAAGGAATAAGAAGGTAACATGTTGGGGTAATTTTCAAATTCCTAGTGATCATTTAATCATAGTATGGAAATCTCTTTGGTACTAGGTGGTCACAGTAGTTTTGTGGGATCCTAAATAAATGAAAATGGTTAGTGGTAGAAAATTAAACAGCCATATTGGACAGAAAGCTCAATGCTTTGAGATTTCTTTTTTCTTGAGGAGCCAATAATTTTTAGCTCTGTTATGATCAGGAATAGGTGGGGGCCAAGGGCTTAAGTCTACTTTTGACTATCTTTTATGAAGTGTTGTACTTTCTGCTTTGAGAGCCCCATGTGGGTGGGTCACTTAAGTGGCTTAATCTAGAAGTTTGTGATTTACCCATTAGGCACATTACATATTATGTGCTAAGGGTTAAGGAGCTATACTTTTAAATGATGTGGATATTTCTTAGTTCCTGAGCATCTTAAGTAGTTGAGTAGCATAGAATCCCTTGTCCTTTTTCATCTAAATTGTGTGTATTTATAGATGCTGGTGTCAGAAATAGAAATGAAACAGAGCAAAATGGATGAATGTCAAAAATATGCAGAACAGTACTCAATTGCAGTGAAGGTATGTGGATTCAGTTATTTACTTCTATCAAATTTAGTATTTGGGCATATGATTCTACATTGAACTTTCAAAGCGTTTACAAGTCATTTCACTCTGTGTTAACAAATGAAAACAGAGAGTCTTCATTTGGAAACCTTTTGACACTACCTACCTTCTACTTCTTTGACATCTGAGTCACATGGCAGCCCCTGGTTTATTCATTTTCCCTGTTACATAGCACATGCACACCTGCCCCTCTAAACACATAAGAAATACAGAGCTCTGAAATTAATTTCATTTAAAATACATATTTTTATTGATTTCGAGGAGGAAGAGAGAGGGAGAGAGATAGAAACATCAATGATGAGAGAGAATCACTGATCAGCTGCCTCCTGCACACACCCTACTGGGGATCGAGTCCGCAACCCGGGCATGTGCCCTGACTGGGAATCGAATCATAACCTCCTGGTTCATAGGCCGATGCTCAACTGATGAGTCACACCAGCTGGGCTAAAATTCATTTCTTAAAATATATATATCTATATACACACACACACACATACACACACACACACACACATATATACATATATACATATATATATGTA